AGTGAACTCACATGATGGGCAGTGTGTGGAGTGAACCCACATGATGGGCAGTGTGTGGAGTGAACCCACATAATGGGCAGTGTGTGGAATGAACCCACATGATGGAAGTGTGTGGAGTGAACTCACATGATGGGCAGTGTGTGGAGTGAACCCATATGATGGGCAGTATGTGGAGTGAACCCACATATTGGGCAGTGTGTGGAGTGAACTCAAATAATGGGCAGTGTGTGGAGTGAACCCACATGATGGGCAGTGTGTGGAGTGTACTCAAATAATGGGCAGTGTGTGGAGTGAACCCACATAATGGGCAGTGTGTAGAGTGAACCCGCATGATAGGCAATGTGTGGAGTGAACCCACATAATGGGCAATGTGTGGAGTGAACCCACATAATGGGCAATGTGTGGAGTGAACCCATATGATGGGCAGTGTGTGAAGTAAACCCACATAATGGGCAGTGTGTGGAGTGAACTCAAATAATGGGCAGTGTGTGGAGTGAACCCACATAATGGGTAGTGTGTTTAGTGAACCCACATGATGGGCAGTGTGTGGAGTGAACTCAAATAATGGGCAGTGTGTGGAGTGAACTCAATGGGCAGTGTGTGGAGTGAACCCACATAATGGGCAGTGTGTAGAGTGAACCCACATGATAGGCAATGTGTGGAGTGAGCCCACATAATGGGCAGTGTGTGAAGTAAACCCACACGTGCATGAGTAAGGAAGGTTCATTACTGCTAATAACCAGGCCAGTGTAAACACCAGGAAGGCGAGGTAAGCATGAAATACCTTCCCTTGTGAACACTTGAACGGTGCCATCACAGGCAGGAGAAACATCGTATGCAGCCAGTAAACACCATCTCACTTCTCTCCATGTATAAAGTCACTTCTGTATTGGACTAAAGGTGCCTCTTGCGCAGGCGGAAAGTTTCTGCAGGTTAGTTACCATTTCACGGTATAACTTGATAAGTTCTTATAAAGAAATGTTCTAAGATGTTTCATGTGTTTGTCATCTACTGTTCCCTCAGGGATGGGTCCTTGATGCCCTTGTGGCTCCTGAGCCTCGTTTCCTCTGCTCAAGCTTGATTGCTTCTTTGTTTTCCCAGGCGCTGTGTAACACTACAGGTTTAGCGCTCCTTCATCAATGTAATAATCATCTACCTTGTGGACTCGCTGCCTCATCGACCTCGCTTGCTACATCTGATTGTTTTCAAATTTTCCCTCGAGGGAGGTTCCTTGATGCTGGTGGGGGCTCTTGATCGAGGATTCTAGGGAATTGGATCTGTGCTCCAATTCCCTGAATTAAGCCTGAATGCCTTCCACCCCCATTCCCCTCTCAAGCGCTGTATAATCCCTACGCGTTTAGCGCTCCCCATAATAATAATAATAGTGTTCAAATTCAAAATTATTTTTTTTATTTCTCTCATAGTGTGCAAAGGTAATGTTGTTTACATGTAATAGAACATAGTTAATCACAAAAGAAATCCACTATTAGGGAAATGTATTTCTTGTATGGTAACTAAGCTATTAGTAAAGGAAAATAATAAATGTGTGTAGCTCTTAAATGTTAACATTGTGCTGACTCATCGTGTAGTGAGTGCATCACAGACTCCAGTGTGGGAGCGTCAAGCCTTATATTAAATAATTCACTTCTAGAAAATGATAGAATGAATACTGAGAACCTTCAAAACTAGGGATTCCAAGCCAATAATGATTCTCTTCAAATCGCTTGTTCTCTCTAGGCTGGAGAACGGCTGTATACTATCTGCCCCTTTCAAGGCAGGCGACATTACACACCTGATGAATACACTTACGTATAAGTACAAAAAGGCACCTTAGTTACTAGAAATGGTTGAAATACTTTAACCTGCACTCCTTGGAACGCAGGCGAGAAAAATACATCATAATATATATTTGGAAAATCTAGTCCAAATCTGCACACGAAATCACTCCCTACGAGAGCATAAGACTCGTCAGATGGTGCAACATCTCCCAATGAAACGCAGAGGTGCCATAAGCATATTATGAGACAACGCAATAAGCATCAGGGGCCCAAGACTGTTCAACTGCCTCCAAACTAGTCCCTAATCTGCACAAAGAAATCACTCCCTACGAAAGCAAAAGACTTGGCAGGCGATGTAACATACGCTCAATGAAAAGTAGGGGCGCCATTAATACACTAAGTGAAAACACCCTAAGTGTCCGGGGCCCAAGAGTATTCAACAGCCTCCCACCAGCCATAAAGGGAATTACCAATTGACCCCTTCAAGAGAGAGCTGGAAGGATATTAAAGTCAGTGCCGGATCAGCCGGGCTGTGTTTCGTACATTGGACTACGTGCGGCCAGCAGTAACAGCCTAGCTGATCAGGCCCTGAGCCAACGGGAGGTCGGGTCGTGAACCGGGCCGCGGTGGCGTTGATCCCCAGAATACCCTCCAGGTAGACTCCCTCCAGAGGGCTGAGGAGGGGTTGTTGAAGTGGTTCGGACATTTAGAGAGAGTGGAACGAAATAGAATGTCTTGGAGAGCATATAAATATGTAGTGGAAGGAAGGCAGGGTAGGGGTCGGCCAAGGAAAGTTTGGAGGGAGGATGTAAAGGAGGTTTTGTGTGCGGGGGACTTTGACTTCCAGCAAGCATTCATGAGCATATTAGATAGGAGAGAGTGGAGACAAATGGTTATTGACTTGACATGCTGTTGGAGAGTGAGCAAAGTAACATTTATGAAGGGATTAAAAGAAACTGGCAAGCCGGATTTGAGTCCTGGAAGTGGGAAATGCAGTGCCTGCACTCTGAAGGAGGGGTGTTGATATGTTGCAGTTTTTTAACTGTAGTGTAGGCACGCCTTTGGCAAGACAGTGATGGAGTGAATGATGAAAGTGTTTTCTTCTTTTATGGATCACCCTGCCTTGGTGAGAAGCGGCCGATGTGGTAATATATATATATATATATATATATATATATATATATATATATATATATATATATATATATATATATATATATATATATATAGTATAATATATATATATTTTTTCAACAAACCGGCCGTATCCCACCAAGGCAGGGTGGCCCAAAAAGAAAAACGAAAGTTTCTCTTTTTAAATTTAGTAATTTATACGGGAGAAGGGGTTACTAGCCCCTTGCTCCCGGCATTTTAGTTGCCTCTTACAACACGCATGGCTTACGGAGGAAGAATTTTGTTCCACTTCCCCATGGAGATAAGAGGATATAAACAACAACAAGAACTAGAAAGAAAATAGAAGAAAACCCAGAGGGATGTGTATATATACATATATATGCTTGTACATGCATGTGTAGTGTGACCTAAGTGTAAGTAGAAGTAGCAAGACAGACGTACCTGAAATCTTGCATGTTTATGAGACAGAAAAAAAGACACCAGCAATCCTACCATCATGTAAAACAATTACAGGCTTTCGTTTTACACTCACTTGGCAGGACGGTAGTACCTCCCTGGGGGTTGCTGTCTACCAACCTACTACCTAGATATATATATATATATATATATATATATATATATATATATATATATATATATATATATATATATATATATTACATATATGTATATATATATATATATATATATATATATATATATATATATATATATATATATATATATATATATATATATATACATATGTCGTGAAAAATAGGTAAAACCTGTGATTTTGACTTAAATAGCAACGCTCTTCTTGCCGAATAAAGCAAACGAAAATTTGTGTATGCAGTAAACTTGCAAAAATCATTCTGAACTTAAGGAAAAGAAAAGATATTTCATTCTGTTTGTTTATTATTAAATTACTGTAAACTTATCTAAAATATATTTAGTTGGATTAGGCTAAATTAAATTGCGCTTGTTATAAGGTTAGGTAAGTTTTCTAAGGTTCTTCTGATACAAAATTATTAATTTTTACATTAACATAAATGAAAAAATATATCTTTAAACGTATAAGAATTTTTTTTAGAAAGGATTTAATTATAAATGAGTTCTTGCTATTTGTCCAGTTTTACCTATTCGGCACGACATATACACAATATATATATATATACATACATATATATACATATATATATATATATATATATATATATATATATATATATATATATATATATATATATATATACACATATATATATATATATTGTGCAGATATAACCTAGGACATAATAATGTCAATGGGACTTATTTACAATTGTCCTTTATAATAAAAATAACGTCTTCTAGACATAAAGTGAATAATAAAAAAATAACAATGGGTGTTGTTGCTGTTAAAACAAGTCAAGTGTTTTAAATACGGTACGCATCGGATATGAAAGGTATAATACTAATACAAAATCCATAATATATACTGATTGAGAGTAGAGAGGAGCAATGCTGTGTGTCGGGAGAGCAGCGCCAAGCGGCGGGGCGCAAGAAACTAGACATTGATAATAGAAAACGAGTGAAGTGCAGCAGGTGCCCAGCAGGTCTTTGATCCGGGTGCTGGGGTCTCAGCCTCCCTGGTGCTGGGCTCTCAGCCTCCTGTCTCTTCTCTACCCCCACAGTTTGCCCCTCCTTCCTCCCATCTTCTCCCACACCTCCATAGTAGCTCTTCCACTCGCCGACACCCTCCCTCAAAATTACCTAATTTATATTTATTCTCTCGTGGCAGCTTTTATTTATGCTTACGCATTGTTTATTAATGTTAATTATTTTTATGATGCTGTAAACTTAATTTAATTTCACAAATATACATATTAAGGGCATATAAAAAATCACTCAATGAGTCTTCTTGCGCACACTTGGCACATGCGCATTAGCCACAATCGATGCGATTTTCTTATTTTATCTTATCATTATTTCCTGTCGCTTCTGGGTTGTCTCATGAACAGTTTGAGCGCACCACGTGGAGAGACATGAATTGTAATATATTCTAAAAAGAAAAATGGGCATGGAAGAAGCGTGTACAGTGACAATAAATATATATAGTCGTGTGAGTGGTAGTGTTGGAGGGGGTAGCGGCGGGGCGGGTGACGCCTCACAGTAACAGCAACTGAGCTTCAAACGGTCATGGCTGGGTGTAGTGGGTGGGTGTTGTGAGACGCTCTCCCTATATTACTGAGAATTTGTGGTAAGTCGCTCATTTACCTTACACCTAACTTGGAAATGAAAGGTGACTGGATTGTGCATAGTTTATAAGCCAGGATTTACTTGTGTACATTGAAAGGAGTGAATTTGAGGTGAAAACGTCAATAAGTGTTGTCTCAAGTGGAGGTTTGTACCTGGTGAGGTTGTCACCGTTTTACGTGAGTTGCAGCAGCTTGCAAGCAACACGCAATGCTTTGCAACTAAAGGAGAATTTTTAATTAATTCTAGATTCTCGAAGTCTGCGGCTAAAATAAATGCGATTGAAGTTATGGGCAGCATTTTGTAGTGATTTTGTTAAAGTTGGCATCTGGTGTTGACCCAGGCTGTGACCAGGCCAAGTACACTCAACCACACTGCACCAGTTAATGTATTTCAAGTTTGATTCAGTTGCACTAATAAACCTTCTCCCCAAAAGACTGACCATGATAATACATCATAGTGGATCTCGTGGCTTCTTTCATTGTTATTACATACGGGGGAAAAGTAGCTATGGGTCAAGTTTGACTTTTGAAAAAATCTACTATTGACAACTACTGAAGGCAAATTGGTGTATGCCTTAGGCACGCTCCAATTTGCGTCTAATTTTTTTTTTTTTACCAGTACCGTTTTCTTGTGTTTAATAGTTTAACGAATTTCGTGCAATTAAATGTTATTCTACTGCTCTGATGACATTTTTGTGTACAATATTTCAATTAGTTATTGTAGATAAACGATTCATATTTTTTATTTAAGATCACTTTAAACTTAATATTTATATTATTTAATTGATTTCGTAAACTGACGTGTCGTTATTTATTTCAGATTGTTGCCGGCTATGAAGTGGTGTATTGGTGTGTTGACGTTTTGTGGAGTATAGCAGTGGTGTGTTGGGATGGTTGGTACAATGTTGCCTCGCAGTGTTTTAGGGCTTGTGGGTGTGGCCCTGGTGGTGGCACTGGCCACTGTGTGCGTTAGTGCAGAGATCTTGCCCGAAGTGATGTACAATGTGGCCGTGCCACATGACGTTGTCCCTGCGCATATTGTGTACAAAATCAAATTAAAAGCTGGCCAAACCGTTAATAAGTTGATGGATAGTGAGTACTCAGATTACTTTGCTATGCTGGATAATGGTGATGTTATGACTGTGGCCAAGCTGGCCCCACTCTTGGGCCGCACTGTCACACTCCGGGTATCAACCAGTTACCCAAATGGAAACATTCAGGTGTATATCATCAAAGTGGCCATCAAAGATCATCAGACGATGCTGCGATTTCTCAAGCCAGAGTACGACGCTTATCTGTACGAGAACATGCCCGCTGGTACTGAGCTGCAGGGCCTTGACGACCTCGAAGCCATGGGGGAGGAGGACGTCAAGTATGAGTTGCTTGGTGGTCACTCTGTCTTCGCCCTTCATCACGTGGGTGGCATCCCAACTGTGGTCAGCAGGAAAGCACTAGATCGTGAGGCTCAGGACCTGTATCATCTGGTCCTGCGAGCTTACGACAAGGAAGGCATGGACATGGCAGAAGCTAAGATCAACGTTCACATTTTAGACATGAACGACCATGCTCCAGTTTTCACACAGAGCGTTTTCTATTTCTTTGTTCCTCTTAACGTTACACGATTTGACAAAATAGGTCGTGTAACTGCTCATGACGGAGACAAGGACAAGGTTGTTTATCGCTTAGCCTACCCGTCCAACACCTTCACCATCGTGCCGCAGACAGGAGAAATAATGTTGATTGAGCCCCCTGAGACCCTGGTGTATGAGCTGGAGCTAGAGGCATTTGACAAGAGAAAACCCACTCTCTACTCTGACTCCTTGGCTAAAGCACATATCGAGTTCCGCTATCCTAGCGATTCCTTGTTCACCGGAGAGAGTAATGACATTGAGTATGACGTCTACCCAGATCACGCCATGTCCAAACGCAGTGCCAAGAAGAGGGTTAAGCGAGGTCAGCTTCGTCACACCAAGGAACTGGTGTTCTCAGAGGCTGACGGAGCCGTGGAAGGTAAAGTCGTATTCCAGCTCGAGAAAGAAATTCAGTGGGAAACATTTAAAATCCGCGATGATAACCCGTGGGTAGAAGTTGACACTAACGGTGCTGTGAGAATCAAAAAGAAATGGGACTACGAGGAGTTGGGACCAGAGAAGACTATCGACTTCTGGGTCACCATCACTAACAACGACCGTAATGGTGAGTACACCAAAATAAATGTTGTGGGGAGGCAGGTGATTTCGAAGAATATTGTCGACTAGATAATCATTGGTTATATAATACATGTTATTTACGTTAAATTAGGGAGTATCTTTCGGGCAAAATTTTCTTCTATGTTTACGTCGTTTGCGTATGTACAATACTGGATGTTAAATGTCTTAGGTGTTAATTACAGTAAGTTGTTTCATGACAATTCTGCTAGCAGAATGAGTCTTGTTTAGATAGTACTAGTGTACGTTATTATTTTTATAGGGTCGGATCTTTTTTAATTAAGGTATAAATATATAAAAGGTGTGTGTGTATGCTATGTTTACCTGCAGTGCGTATTTAGGTATTAATATAAAGTAGCCGTGATATTATTGGCATAAATGGGTAGCACATTATAAAATCTTGGGTTAAAATTTCTTAGAGCTTTCTTAGGATAATTGTGTGTGTTAGTGTACTGGTTGGCAAATCGACAACGAACTGATAGGTATTTAAAGGGCAGAGGCTAGAAAGTAGTTGCACTAGTAAATTATTCGAGGTAGGTATGAGTGTTTTTCGTCACTGGAACCTTGTGTTTATAGCCAGATGCATTGTCACTTCAAATTTGAGCGTTTTCACGTGTTTTGTATTTACTTCATATTTGTTACAAGCAGTCCTATCACGATATAATACGTACTTAAAATGTTTGTTGTTCAGTGTCATGCCTAAACAGTAGCAAGTCAACTTGATATAGTATTTCTCTGCCTCTTGAGGTGAGGTGTATGCAAATGTGTGTGGTTTAAAAAAAAAATTGTATCTTTTATTAATTAGCATAATTGCTTCAGTAACAGTAGAATTGATAGGATCTTAAGATTTGTTAATACAAGTACCATGTATATTCTATTCGAACGGCTAGTTAAAACATTAAGTACCATAAAATATTGACTAGTGGTTAGTAATAGTAATATTCTATGAGTTGGGGAATACATTCCTCAAATTGGATAAATTTAGATTTAGAAAGGATATAGGAAAATATTGGGTTGGAAAGCTCCAAATTTAGGTTAGATAAATACATGAGTGAGAAGGAATGAATGCGAGTGGGAAGTTGCTCATGAGTTAAGTGTTATCAAAGCTTATTCCTTAGGTAGCATTGAAAATGGGTTGGACAGATATGTTTGTTATTGGGTTTGGGTATGAGAAGGGCTTGCCTAGTATGGGCCAGTAGGCCTGCTCAGTGTTTCTCCTTTTTTATGTTCACGTTAATGGCACCAATAAAGCAATTTGAGGGATTGTTCATGTCACTAAATAAGCTATTGACCTTTAAAAGAGTTTTCAGTGTTCCATTAAAAGTAATTTTACAAGATTATAAAACATTATTAAGGCTTATTTCCTTGATCCAGGGAAATGTATATGCCCTCTCCATCTGATCGAGCGTGATAGCCGCCCTTTTCCCTGGTCCTATGACACCAACAGGTTTAGCGCTTCCCCTGATTAAAATAAAATCTTGAGACATGTCTCGAGTAAGTTGATATTAGCAATTATCCAGGAGGGTGTTACTGTCTCGTCATATGATTGTGAAACGAAAGTCCGGTCTTTTCTTTTTAAACGTGTAAAATTAGAGGTAAATTTTGCAAACATACTTAAATTCGGTACACACTTATTATAACTTGCTTTATTAATTATTAAATCAGTTTGTGTAAACATTTAGTCTGTTTTTATTACAGCCTCTGGATCTAATGGATTATAGCTACTATCTTAGAGGTATTAATTTTGGCTAACTTTTTGTGTTTTGTATTACGACCAGCCATTCATAGGCCAAGTCTGATGTTAATGTTGGCACCGTAATATTGTGAGATTCCCGAAATCATTAACATGTTAACTTACTTGAATGATAGGGAATTTTGTGGTTCTCAAATTTACCAAGTAAAATGAATAGATAAAATGTGTAACGTGGAAGGTGGTGACTAAATGGAAGGACAGCTGTCATGTTGAAACGTGATTATCCTTGATAGCAACCATGTGGGTTGCCGGGGTAGGAAGGATAAGGGGGGGGGGAACCGGGTAAGCAGATGGTATCTGAAACCTTTCAGTGTCTAGTCTGTAGCGTATCTGATGTTGCCACTACTTGGTGAGGCGTGAGCACATGTACTTACACATAAAGAGCGCACGTGTGTGCTTTTAAATGCGCGTTAATTAATTGCCAAATTATGTATACGTTTTGACTGCTAAAGATTGCAGTATTAAATGACTCTGTGTATGCATTTTTAATTAGTGCTATGTATTCGAATATTTATGGATTAATGACAGTTTTGTAATAAAATAGACCACACTAGAAAGACTGGGATCGTTACGTCACTTGCCTATCAGCCCAAAAGTCTCAGAATACGCAATTTGCAATTTTTAATCCTATCCAGCATGCCTTTCTCTGCGCACTCTAGGTGATTACCTTTTACGTGTAGTCATGAGTCACTAGCACGTTAGTGTTAACCTTGCTGAATGTCTTTGTAAAGGTCATCATTCTGGAACGAAACCATATTGCTCATCAAATCCCGTTTTGTAAAGCTTTGCAGCGGTAGGCTGTCGACAAGAGCATTTCCACTAATTGGTGACACGGATTTCATTGGGCTTATTGTCTCGTTTGAGAGATTCTGGGTAAAGATACTTCACCATGCACCTACAGCCAGCTACACGTACTCAACACACACCAACCATCCTGTACACATTGCAACTGATTTTTACCTGTGAGTATTTTAAAATTTTAGGTTTTCTGACACCGTTTGAGGATATATATCTAGTGGCTGCCAGATCTCCAAGTTTTTTCCTGTTTGTTGCCTACAGGCTTACCTAGCCATCGCAGATTTGTGTACTTGTTTGAATAACAACTGTAGTTCCGTATTGGGAAGAATTGAAAGTTGCTTAAACGTTTGTCCATATTTAAAGCTGTTATAAAGATTACAATTATCTTTTTGAAAATGTCTGAAAATACTGAAGAGGATTTAATTTATACCATATATTTTCATGTGATTTATTAAAATACTAAAATTTATTTAATCTGGTATAGTATTTGGTTAATATATACCGTAATAAATAAATGAATAAAAATTGAAATATAGCATTATTATGTAAATTTATGGCATAGTGATGTCAAACGAACAATTAGTGGCACTGTAGGGGGTTTACCATTGTCTCCGAGCTTAGGTCAGACAAGTGGAAAATAAGCGATTGTGAGTCATGTATTGAGCTAGTTGACGAGATTAAAGTTCATGGTGGTAGTAGCTATCTTTATTCTCCTGACATAGTAGCAGCGCCTGTGTTTAGTTATTGAACAAGTTGTTAATATCATCTCGTTTGGCTCGACAGTATTTGCTAATATAAACAATACTTCGTAAAGTGGAACTTCAAACAATAGTTACATAATGTTCAATCAAGAACTGGGATTGCCTGAACATATCCCTGAAAAAGCCGGGAGGACTAATCCCAAACTTGACTGAAACCACTCCGTATGAAAACAAGAGGCTTGGCAGACAGTGCAAAATACCTCGAAAAAAAGGGGGGGGGGGCGGAAGAAGTGTCAGATCCCATATATTAGCACCCTCCCCCCCTCAAGGAAGGTTCCTTGATGTTGGTGAGGGGCTCTTGATTTAAGGAATTGGATCTGTGCTCCAGTTCCCCGAATTAAGCCTGAATGCCTTCCACATCCCCCCCAAGGTGCTGTATAATCCTCCGGGTTTAGCGCTTCCCCCTTGATTATAATAATAATAATTACCCTCCCCCCATGCATAAGGGCAATTATCAGAAGCCTTTTGTCTTAAAGAGAGAGAACCTGGCAAGTTCCTCATATCAGATAGTGACTAGCCGGGTTGTGGTTCGTATGTTGGACTTTGCGGCCAACAGTAATAGGCAGGTTGATCAGGCGTTGATCCACCAGGCGGCCTGGTCCTGGAGCAGGCCGCGGGAGGCCAGGCTTGTCTGGTGCTTGCCTGGTCAACCAGCCTGTTGTTGTTGGCGACCCGCTAGCCCACATATCCATCAGAGCCTGGATGATCTGGCACTTGTTCAGTTTCCTCTGGAAGATTTCTACACTTGTTCCTGAAGCGTTTCTGAAATCTGGTAAGATATTGAATAGTCTGGGGCCATGAATGTTCATACAAATATTGTGCCCATGGCGCCTTTGCTTTTAACTGGCTTTATTTTACAGTTCCTCTCGTACGTCTCTCTCCATTATGTTTTGGCAGTGCGCAGATTCGGAACTAGACCCCTGAGTACTTTCCTCGTATACTCATGTGTATCTCTCCTCCACTCGTTCCCGGTAATTAATTTAAATGCTTTATTGGTTCTATGTAGGCCGTTATTGATGTTTCTCCTGCCCTGAACAGGGCAGTCAACGCTAACCAATACTCCAAATGAGAGAGCACAAGCGATTTGAATTCTTGTCACCATTGACACTATTTCCCTTGTTTTGAAAGTTCCTATCCACCTTTTCATTATTCAAGCTTATTGCCTTATTGTGTTGAAAATCCATTTGCCTACCAACCCCATTATGCCTATAGCCCCCATTTTGTGTGCAGTCACCCCATGATCAAATTTGCCAAACGCCTTTGCAAAATCCATGTTACCTATCCATGAATTTGTAGGAGTGACTCGTTTTCCTTCTGTGGGGAAGGATTAATCTTGAGATTATATATGGGCTATGACAGTTGAAGAAGGCAGACTAAGTCGATGTAATTATGTCACAGAATGGTATCAGTTGTATAAATTAGTGATCAAATATCCTTAACATTGATTGATTTAGTAGACTACGCATACGTCATTTCATAGTGAATACAAAGCAAAATTTTAGTCTAGTGAACTTGTATAGTTACAACAAATGAATATAAATTCTCAGGATGAAAGAATATTATGATGCATCATATTTTTCCTACATAAACAATTCAGCATGAAATATATTTGTGAGAGATGATGCTTGACAAATTGACTAGTGTTAGCCATTACAGATAAGTCAAGGTGTAGTGCAA